CCCCACCGCACGGCTGCTGAGGGTGTCCCCTGTGTTCCCACTCCACCAGCTGCCCTAAAGCTGCCTGGAGAAGCAGGGAGGGCAGAGGGTGCCCAGCCACCCGGGTTCATGTCTTATCTGTCACTGGAGCCGGGAGAGGAAGCCAGGGCCTTAGGGTGTGAAAACAAAGCCCTTGACTCTAGCAGGCACCTCCATGGGATTTAGGCCAGACGTTAAGGCCCCAAGGACCCAGGTGTTAGAGTCACTTAGGATAGCAACTTCTATATGTCCTGGCGCATGCCTATCCTCCCAGGGCTCTGGAGGCTGAGGCAGGAGGATCTCCATGAGTTGGAGGCCAACCTGGGCTACACAGTGAGACATTTTCACACACAAAAAGGTGTCACCCAAGCCCCCCCCGCCCTACTTTGGGGCTCTCAGGGCTGCTATGACCCTGCCCTGCCAGGGCTCCATTAAACCCCCAGATGATGGGGGTCAGACAGGAGTGCCCTGGGGTCCCAGCCCAGATCCCAGGCCTAGGAAGGACACCTCACCCCTAATCACCACCTCCAGGCCTAGCCGGGGCCAGGCCTAGATAGCATCGCTCCTGCCCTGGGACAGCCTGAGGCTGCACACCTCTCTCCTGCCTGTGACTGGGGGAAACTGAGGTAAGGGGGGAAGCCTGCTGAGCTGCCCCTCCCCCCACAGGCTCACTTGACCTTTGACACCCAGAAGCACTCACTGGATCCTCACCAGTAAAGGAGAGCCCAGGACAATGGGACTTCTGCTGAGGATCACCTGTCCCAGCTCTCTGCTCTGAAAAAGCGGGGCTCTGAACCTGGGTGGAGGTGGAGGAAGAGGCCCGGGGCTCGGAGGGCCGGGGTTCAACCTGCGTAGGTGGGGAGCTACAACCCCGGTCTTGCTAAGTCACCAAATTGCCCAGGCTGAGTGGAACTTGGGACCCTCCGGCTTCAGCCTCCCGGAATTCTGGGGTCACGGAAGTGTCCCGCTACACCTGGCTAACCCTTGAGAGGTTTTTTGTTATTTCTGAACGAGGCTATGCCCTGTCCCAGAGACGGCAGGGCTGAAGACAGAAAATGCTTGTCCCATGGCTTTAACCTTTAGCACAGTTCCATAGCCCTTTTTCTGTTTATTCATTTTTAATACATCGCCGACCTCAAAAATGGAAAGTCCCTGGCCTTAGAGCCGGGTCTCCCCCACCTCGCCCACCACGCGGGCTCCTCTCCGACGCCCCCTCGACAGCCTGGACCCGGGCTCCCC